AAAAAAAAAAATATATATATATATATATATATGGGTCACATTTTTCAGTAATTTGTAATTATAATTTATAATTATTACAATTATAAATTACATTATAATTGTAATTTGTAGTACAATTTAATGTATTATAATATAATACTTAATATATTTTATATTACCAATTTGATATAGACAGACAAATTATTATGTTTGATTTGGTTTTAATAGTTTTATCTGGTCTGGCTAATCTTAGCTGGTCAGAAAGCTCGTCTTCTAGTATGACCACCTGACAAAATACCCCAAATACCCTTCTAAAATTAGCAAAACGGCCTCCCTGTATACTTCAGGAGACCAGCAAAGACAGTTAGACAAGTTTAACCCTATAGAGCCTGTATTGGTTTCATTCATAATAATTCAGGGTCTATAACAGCAATCAATATAATCAAGACTTTGCTGTACTACTACTCAATCTACTATTGTCATTTTGCTGTCAGACTTTTACGCATTTTAATGATAAGTAAATAAGTTTTGTAATCACGAGTAACAAATATCAAATATGATCATCAGGTTTTTGAATATGTTTAATTTCCAGAACCTTTACTTTCTCTGTTTTTTACCGGTGGAATGAACTTCGAGAGTCTCTAAACACCTCAAGTCTTTGGCGGTTGTTTATTTATCTACATTTCAATCATCATTGTTATTATATATCTACTTTTCAGTCATGATTGTTATTTTTATCTAAAGTAAATGTTTTATAATTGTGAGTATCAAATATGATCATCAGGTTTTTGAATAAGTTTTATTTCCAGAACCTTTACCCTCTCTGTTTCCCAGCGGTGGAATACACTTCCAGACTTTGGAGGTCATTTATTTATCTACATTTCAATCATCATTGTTATTATATATCTGCTTTTCAATTATCATTGTTTTTAAATTGGATATGTTTTGGAAACTAGAGTTTTGCTATAAAACTAAGCACTTAAATATGACCATACCAATACATATTACTGGAGATTCTGAGTAAAACCTATATTATTATGTAGGTTTCTATTATCTACACCAAAATGTACTCTAGTAATCTAAATTAGATGATATATTTATGCTCAGTTTGCAGTTTTGTGCCTTTATATATTATATATACATATTTTTGTGATCAAAATAACATTGAAATATCACTCATGTATATCCATGAGAGATTAGAAATGGAGAAAATACATTTAGCATAATTAAATTAAAACAGCACCAGCTAAAGGCAACACGTGAATTGAAACTATCTCCGTAAAACAGGGGCAGTGCTATTTATACACGCAATGGGACAGCCATAAAAGATTAATGTATATCAAACATAACACATAAATCTGAGATTATTTCTCACTCACACATAAATCACTCCTCATTTCTCCATACTGAGTGGACACCCAGAATCCCCGTCTGTCCTCCAGCGAAATGAAGGGCTCGTTCGGGTATTTTTGTTTGTATTTCTTCAGGAATCCTCCCTCGAAGTCCGCAATGACCCCATCCATGTCCACAAGCACCCGAAGCCTCCGGTTCCCGCTGGACATGTTCGCTTTCCCGTGAAAAATCACCGAGGAAGTGTTTCTCCCGAGCCATCGTGTGATTCTCGGTAGTAAAGTCATCATAAACCTCCGTCAGTCACTAGCTAGTGCGCGTTAGCACCTATAAAGTGAGCAGATTTGTTGGAGAGAGCTGATTATTGTGTTAGCTTCTCTCATTGTAGGGGCTCACTATTGTTTTACTCATCGTGAACTCGTTTTGTTTGTTGGGTTGTTTGTGTGGGTCACTGGGTCTCGTGTTTTTCCAGTGTTCACCGTTCGTTTGTGTATTTGTTTACAGCTGTGCGGCTAAAGCTAAACGCAAACACCTCTTCAAGTGTGTTTTGATTTAACGTTATATCGTTTTAATTCAGCCACATGGTTTACATTGTTATTATCATGTTGTAAACTAGCGGTTAGATTAAATTGAATATAACCGAGATAGAAAAAGAAAGAGAGAGATCGCACACTTGTGTAGCATTGTTTTTATTCCGGTGGGACCGTTTCCGGAAGTAGAAAAAATCCGATTTGTTTTTCCATTTAGGTGTTTATTATGTAGGATAACTTATAAATTGTTAAAGACGGGTCTACTGTTGATCTACATGATTTGCTGAATTCATCAGTCTTCAATTTCAATGTGTTTTAATTGTGATTACAAGCACCTGCAGAAAAACTACATTACCCATAATTCCATCGAAAATCTCCACCAATCACGAAAATTAAACAAAAAAAGTGCACAGAAAAAGTGTTTCTTTTAAGCTATTGTGTGATTTTTGCAAGTAAAGTCATCATAAACCTCTGTCGGTCACTAGCTAGTGTGCGTTAGGCTGGTTTTAGAGGGGTTTTGGCCACTTCCAGGCTGGTTTCCAGCCTGACCAGCTAAAACCAGCTAAGACTATCCTGACCAGCCTAGTCAGGCTGGGAGCCCAGCCAAAACCAGTTATATCCAGCTTATATCAGGCTGGTCAAGCTGGTTTTAGCCGGTCATCAGCCTGACCAGTAAAGACCAGCCTGGAAGTGGCCCAAACCCCTCTAAAACCAGGCTATCAGCCTAGGCTGGTTTACAAAGTTTTTTTCAGTAGGATTGTTGGAGAGAGCTGATTATAGTGTTAGCTTCTCTCATTGTGGGGGCTCACTATTGTTTTACTCATCGTGAACTCGTTTTGTTTGTTGGGTTGTTAGTGTGGGTCACAGGGTCTCGTGTTTTTCCAGTGTTCACCTTTCGTTTGTGTATTTGTTTACAGCTGTGCGGCTAAAGCTAAACGCCATCACTCAGTTTTAAGTACGCAATAATATAGTAGTGTGTGTCGTTTTAATGTAGCCGCATGGTTTACATTGTTATTATCATATTGTAAACTAGCGGTTATGCGTAGTATATAGATAAACTGAATATAACCGAGATAGAGAAAAGAAAGAGATCGCACACTCATGTATCATTGTGAAAAACTACATTACCCATAATTCCATCCATCCACCCATAATTTTCCAGTGCTCACCGTTCGTTTGTGGATTTGTTTCCAGCTGTGCGGCTAAAGCTAAACTTAAACACTGAGATTCAAGTACGTTATGATATAACAAATATTGTTTTAATGTAGCCACATGGTTTACGTTGTTACTATCATGTTGTAAACTAGTAGTTACATGTGGTGTGTAGATTAAACGGAATATTACCAACTTCGAAATAGAAAAAGAAAGATCGCACACTTGTGTGAACGTTAGCATTGTTTTTATTCTGGTGGGACCGTTTCCAGAAGTAGAAAATCTGATTTGTTTTTCGTTTGGTTGTTATTGTGTTAGCTTCTCATCATGATATAACGTTCTATATTGTTTTAATGTAGCCACGTGGTTAACATTGTTATTATCATGTTGTAAACTAGCGGTTGAATGTAGTATATATAGATTAAATGGAATATAACCAAGATAGAAAAAGGAAGAGCATTGTTTTAATTCCGGTGGGACCTTTTCCGGAAGTAGAAAATCCGATTAGTTTTTTCGGTTGGGTGTTGATTTTGAAGGATAGTTTATAAATCGATAAAGACAGATCTACTTTTGATCTTCAAGATTTGCTGAATTCATTAGCCTTGTTTTTGTCAACATGTGTATTAAATGGGGAAAACTACATTACCCATAATTCCATCAAAAATCTCCACCAATCACAAAAATTCAACAAACATGCCATGCTAATTTGTTTACTGACCACATGTTTTCATTTTTCCAGATTAAAAGTCAGGGCTATTTCGGCAAATATTGATTCCTCTCTTATAATAGTAATAAATCAGCTTAGCCTTCATCATATGGAAAATAATATGGATTTTTTTTTTTAATTAAATCTATATATTTAAAATGAATGTTTGTATTTTTAATCAGGACTGCTACTGGTAAATAAAAAAAAATTATATGTATATATATATATATATATATATATATATATATATATATATATATATTTTTTTTTTTTTTTTTTTTTTTGTTTTTCCTATGGTCCTATGTGTTTTAATTTGTTTACACAAGAGGGTTAATATATATTATATAAGTTGGGTATAATATTGTTACCAATATTTTAACAAACGAATACAATCTTTGCATAATTATTAACTATACCAGCCTTCTTTTATAAGTCGTCTGAAGGTTTGAAGCTGATGATGATCTCTCCACTTCGAGTATCTTTGTTTTGCCCCGGAAGCAAAAACACCCATTTTTTTCCTCTTATTTCTTAAAGCTGTACGTCCATTTTCAAACCTGAATCCTGTGGTATTTTGCTGTAAATGAAGCATTTAGCTACAAACACATAACAGATAAGTGTCTATATATTAAAATCCTACAGTATCCCACGTAGTCATCCGAATCACAGTGGGGTGTTTACTTCAGGAAAGATCCCGAGTCTGAAATCTCGCGCAATCTCAGCTGTCACTCAAACCTCGCGATATCTATTTGCCGTTGGCGGCTGAGGGCCCGTCCCTTCTGTACAGGAGAACTTCTCGTGACATTTGAATGAAAAACATCGTCCCGAAAGCGCAGAATTATGGCTTCAGCTTTGGAGCAGTTTGTCAACAATGTGCGGCAACTTTCCGCTCAAGGTACGGTGGTTTTTACGGCGCGTTACGCCTCGGGCTTACGGAGATATGGGCTAGCTAGCTTAATGCTAAAAGCTGTTAGCGCGATAGCATGCTAGTTGTTTATATTTCAGCATGTAACACATGGGAGCTGTTTATCTAATTCCGTTCATCCAACTGGACTTAAAAGAAACAAAATCTGCAGGACATGTACACATTAAAGCATCTGCTTCAATCGCTTAGCTGTTATATAATGGAAATGAGAGCATGTGTCAAGTTAGCTGAGTCATATTTTAATTTAATGCAATAAAACACCCTATTTAGATTTTTCTCTGTCACTAATAAGGTATTTACAAAGTGATGTATATAATATAATCATTAAAATACGTCATGAGATCTTATTGCCATGTTCATTTACAATTAATGCAATAAAATACCCTATTTTCATGTTTATCTGTCATGTATTTATAAAGAGATGTATGTAATATAATCATTAAAATACGACATGTTATTTGCTTGTGCATTTACAGCAGAATAGATAACATCATGTAAGTGTTTACATTCATGATGATGCACCTTATGTTTTCAGGTCAGATGACTCAACTATGCGAGTTAATAAATAAAAGTGGGGAGCTTCTGGCCAAGAATCTCTCTCATCTGGACACTGTTCTTGGCGCTCTGGACATCCAGGAACACTCCCTTGGGGTTTTAGCTGTTCTGTAAGTCATTGACTTGTTGAATGCCATTGGCTGAACTCCTCAAAGTGCTTTATTTCTGCTTTTTTAAAGGTCTTACCTCTGTCTCTGTGTAATGTTGCTGTTTGTGAATGTAAAAGGTCTGGTGAGTTTTAAAGATTGAAGTGCATGACTAATAAGTTACTGCCTCAAAAAAGTATCAAGTATCTGAATTATGTAGATATGAATTGACATATTTGCATATGCGAAAATGATAATGACATTTATTGTCAAGACAATATTTAAGGTGGTGCGTTTTAATGCACTTTCATAAACTCATCTAGTGCTCTTTAATGTTTAATCATGACTAATCAGACAAAATAATAGAAAGTTAATAATAATAATAATAGAATACTATTATACGTCCAATAATGACATTAATAATAATAATAGAACTATTATGTACTGTGGATGTTGATATACATGCACACACATTAATGTATATGCTTTAGAAATATTTACATGTATATTAATATTTATATCTGTAATATTTATATAATTATGTAAATGCAAACTTTTATTTTGCATGCTATTTAGTTGGAATTAATCATTAAACCACACTAAATGCCATTACAAACACATCTCTTAGGCCCAATCCCAATTCTATTTTCATACCCCTGCTTCTTCCCTTTCTCCTTAGCTCTTAAAACCTAGGGTGAAGGGGAAGGGCTTTAAAATTGAACCCTAATGCTGCGTTCACACCAGACGTGTCAAACGCGAATGATTTACATGTTAAGTCAATGCTAACGCGCGAATAGACATCCTGCAGCGCGAATGGCGGTGCGCGAATTGAGTGTTTTGCGCGTTTCACGCGAATCGCTCAAGTTCGAAAATCTGAACTTCTGCAGACATTTGTGCCGCGTTAACCAATCAGGAGCTTGCATTTGTGAGGGCATAATTGTGGCATGTTGTTGGTGTCGGCTGGAGGATTTCCCCCAGGACACCGACAACAGACGATACGCCACAATTATGTTAGATTTGTGAGATAATTAAAAGTTCATCAAACTGGGCTGGGCTCAGTCAGAAGCACCGTTGAAAGCCTCCGTTACCCAGGTTCAGTTTCTGGAAGAGTTTATGAGCTCACAGAGCTGGATGCACCTCTGAAAGAATCTAGTGGACTCAGACACGGCCCTAAACGTATCAACGCTGTTTTTCAGCCTTCACAAAGCACATAAACACTGTTATTCTCTTCATAAAATCCATGTTAGCCATTTAGCAACGAAGCTACAGTCACCGGGCAGACAGAAGCCCTGCTCATCATGCGAATCCGCATCTGTTCTGAAGTGAATTTGACGCGCGAATGAAGCGGATTTGATGCGCGAATGAAGCAAGTAAACTCAAATGTTCACACGGCTATTTACGCGCGAATAGCGCAATTTATCCGCGCGTTCCGTGTCTGATTTGAACACAGCATAAGAATTGGGACAACACTACAGCACCTGCACACGTCATCATATGTCATCGTGATCTCTTGCTTCATATGAGATCAGACGATCATGACTGCTGTATTTATTCCAGTTGTGCTCTTTCATTTATTTATTTTTTTTTTTGGTTTTTAATGTTTAGGAAATCCCTGAACGCATATATCATGTTATCAAGATGATCTAATGTGGCAATAAGCTCGTAATACTATGCATTTACACAGGGCCCTGTTAAAAGCTGATGCCTTTACATGTCATTTGTGGATGTGTTTGTAAACGTAAAATTCTGTAGTGCATTTAGTCATTGCCCAGCAGGCACACAATGTCATAAGACATTAATATTAGGTTAGATTTAGGTTGTGATGTCAGGTGACCCAAATTCAACATTTAGCCTGCGTCTAAGGACAACATTATTTTGATGTCCAATAATGACGTTAAATGATGTTGATATTTGGTCAATTTTAGGTTGTTAGAAAGTGACCAACATCCAACGTCAAGCCAACATCTAAAACCAACATCATATTGACGTCAAATACTGACGTTTATTCATCTGGTATGGCAACCAAAATCTAACGTCTGATAGACGTCATAGTGGAAACATACAAACAAAGTCACGCTGTAACATTTTTAGACGTTGATATTTGGTTGCATTTAGGTTGGACATTGACGTCGGCCTGACGTTGAGTTCTGATGTAAACCAATTTTCATTTCCAAACAAAGTGCAACATCCTCATGACATTGGGGTATAACGTCAATCTGACGTCATGTTGATGTCTTGTGCCTGCTGGGTGTTCAAGGCCATTTCGGTCATCATACAGTAAACATTCGTCATCTTCTCATCAGTGGCATGCATCTAAACAGTCTCTGGATCGATGCGTGTAAAGACTTTGGGCATCTTCTTGGACACTTTTAATTCTTCCAAATAGTTTGTTGCAATCATAAATCACCCATGTTTTAAGGTAGTTCAGTATGATGCGATTTACCTTCTATGTGTGATTTGATTGGACAGGAATTGCAGAACTGATTATTCTAATTCCCGTAGACAAGAAGGAATACAGTAGTGACTGCAGGTTGAAGGAAAGTTGTGGAGTAAAAGTACTGATACAGCACTAAACATGTACTCAAGGAAAAGTAAAAGTACACATTTTAAAAACTCAATTACAGTCATTTTAGTGTTTGTATTTTGTTACTTTACAACACTGGGAAATACTAATATATACATCTTAGGGGTGTCAAATCGGAATCGATCGAAATTTATGCTCAATTTCGATAATCGAATCAAAAAATAGAATCGTCGATGCTGCCACGCCCCCATGTCACGTCAGCTTGGCTTGCCAAGCGGGAAAAAAACAGGCTTGTTGAAGAGACCCGTCGACAGAGCTTAAACCCTCTCCTCTTTCAATGAAGTCGCCGGTTTAAGCATTTTGGATTTCCAGTGAGTTATGTTGACAACGTTCGTGTTGTCGACAAAAAAAAAACACAGTTTTGCAAGCTCTGCTATGTACATATTACGTACTGTTCGTCCGATAGACAACACCGGCATCGCGATCCTCCACCCGCCCTCTTTTCAAATCCGCTCGCGAAAAGTTCACACTCAGGCCCTGTTTACACTGTCTTTGTTTTTAAATGGCATTTTAGAACGACAACGATTTGACATCCACAGTGGCGTGTAGCATTTCTGAGCAGCCCTCCTTCCTCTCTACCTCTGAAAATGCACATCACGTGACCACACAGACACAGACGCACACACAGCCATGCGCTCGAGACAGCAGGTCCAGGCAGTCAGAGGACTGCTTCAATCTTTCACTCACTTGTACTTCGTCATTTTAGCGAACACCTCAGATACTGTTGGCTGGTTCCTGTTGGTTGTGCGTCTTTTTTACCGACGCCATTATAACGACACAGATCACTGCCTATTCACGAGTCCCGCAGTAACAGTGATTGACAGGTGGTAATTATGTGTGCATCTTGCCTTTATTCATTTACTGTATGATTTGTTTATGGGTAAAACAAAGACCATGCAGGTCAGGTAGTTTAAACGGTAGGCTACAAATAACTAATTGGTCATTAATTAATTAATTATTCATAATCGAAAATCGAATCGTGCCTTTAGAATTGAAAATGTAATCGAATCGAGGATTTGGAGGATCGTGACACCCTTAATACATCTATGAGAAATGAGGTGATGTGAAATTAAGATTATGAGAACAAATGCTTGTGTAAGCCTATTGTAGGACACCAAATAGCATAATAGGCACCGTTGGATGCCCATCTGAAAGAGTTGTCGTATGTTTGAACTGTGTTGCAGGTTTGTGAAGTTTTCCATGCCAAACATCCCCGATTTTGAGACCTTGTTTTCCCAAGTCCAGCTCTTCATCAGCACCTGTAATGGAGAACACATCCGATACGCCACAGACACGTGTATGGAAACACTTCAGCAGAATTAACACAGAAGACTGTTTAATGCATATCCTATAATATGTTTTCTATCTGCTTACAGTTGCTGGTCTGTGCCACCAGTTAACAAATGCCCTTGTAGAAAGAAAACAGGTCAGTTGTATCTGTACAGTTTTAGTGTTTGCTCTTCATACGACAGCAGTGACGTTAAATAGTCTTTTTCTTTGCAGCCCTTGCGTGGAATAAGTATACTTAAACAGGCCATAGACAAGATGCAGATGAACACAAACCAGCTTACCTCAGTGCATGCAGACCTGTGTCAGGTGAGGCAACATTTCAGATTTATTGCATGGTTATAGATAATTAAAGAACAGCATCAGTAAACATAGATGTTGTGATCACACTACGAGTCTTGAATTATTATTATTTTATGTAGCAGAAGTATTGATGTGGTTCTTTAGCCTAAATTTAATGTAGTATTACCCATGAGTAATGCAATTGGAATCATTTTAGACATTATCTATCTGTCTGTGTGTCTATCTATCTATCTATCTATCTATCTATCTATCTATCTATCTATCTATCTATCTATCTATCTATCTATCTTTGCATATAGCCGGCGAGCGAGCCAGCGCTCCGTCCCTGAGAGACAGAGCGTGGAGATGCTTATGAATCTATCTTCGATTTTACATATATATATATACACACACACACACACATTTATATATATATATATATATATATATATATATATATATATATATATATATATATTACAAATAATGTCTAAGCATATTTATCCAAAAAAGAAAAATCTAATATAAATTCATAATTATGTCATCCATCTATCTATCTGTCCATCCATCCAACCATCCATCTGCCCATCTGTCCATCTATTTATCCATTCGCCCATCCATCCATCCGCCCATCTGTCCATCTATCCATCTATTTATCCATCCATCCATCCATTCATCTATCCATCTATTTATCTATCTATCTGTCTGTCTGTCTATCTATCTATCCGTCTATCTATCTGTCCATCCATCCAACCATCCATCTGCCCATCTGTCCATCTATTTATCCATTCGCCCATCCATCCATCCGCCCATCTGTCCATCTATCCATCTATTTATCCATCCATTTATCCATTCATCTATCCATCTATTTATCTATCTATCTGTCTGTCTGTCTGTCTATCTATCTATCCGTCTATCTATCTGTCCATCCATCCAACCATCCATCTGTCCATCTATCCATCTATTTATCCATCCGCCCATCCATCCATCCATCCATTTATCCATCCATCCATCCATCCATCCATCCTTCCATCCATCTATATCTATCGACTGACCAACCTATCTATCCATCCATCCATCGACTGACCAACCTATCCATCCATCCATCCATCCATCCATCCATCTATCTATCTATCTATCTATCTATCTATCTATCTATCCATCTATCTATCTATCTATCTATCTATCTATCTATCTATCTATCTATCTATCTATCTATCTATCTATCTATCTATCTATCTATCTATCTATCTATCTATCTATCTATCTATCTATCTATCTATCTATCTATCTATCTATCTATATCTATCTATCTATATCTATCTATCTATCTATCTATCTATCTATCTATCCATCCATCTATCGACTGACCAACCTATCTATCCATCCATCCATCGACTGACCAACCTATCCATCCATCCATCCATCCATCCATCCATCCATCCATCCATCCATCTATCGACTGACCAACCTATCTATCCATCCATCCATCGACTGACCAACATATCCATCCATCCATCTATCCATCCATCCATCCATCCATCGACTAACCAACCTATCTATCCGTCTATCTATCTATCTATCTATCTATCTATCTATCTATCTATCTATCTATCTATCTATCTATCTATCTATCTATCTATCTATCGACTGACCAACCTATATCCATCCATCCATCCATCGACTGACCAACCTATCCATCCATCCATCTATCTATCCATCCTTTTTCATAATGTTTTAATCTCTATCCATCCATCCATCCATCCATCCATCCAATATAATGCCTAAACATATTTATCCAAATAAAGAAACCTAATAGAAATGCATTATTGTGTCTGAAAATACTTGTGTATGAAACTAGGGAATGCCCAGCCCTATATAAAACTGTTAAGTAAAAATAATATTAACTTTTATTGAAATAACTGTATTAGAAATGGTGCATAGTTTGGAGGTAAATATTGGTTAGTACCATGGGATGCTCTTAAACTAATAGTAATTATATCAGTAAATGTATACATTTATGATCTCAAGGTGATGGCAAATCATTAGACGTTTATTGTGTAGTAAATAGTGATTTGTCCTTGTGTTTACAGTTGTGTCTATTAGCTAAGTGCTTCAAACCTGCAGTCCCGTTCCTGGAGTTGGACATGATGGATATTTGCAAGGAGAACGGAGCGTACGATGCAAAGCACTTTCTATGTTATTATTACTATGGTGGCATGATCTACACGGGTCTGAAGAACTTTGAAAGGGCGCTGTATTTTTTTGAACAGGTAATTTATGGTTTATTTATTATATATTTATAAGTTGTTGGTTTGTTTTTAATGAGAGAGAGCTTTATGTTTTAAATTGCTTAATATTTTATTTTAGAAGGGAGACTTTATTACTCTCATTAATATTCATAATAATGATTTGTAATAAAGGATCTGTAGAATTTAAATGCCATTGTTGCTCGAAAGTATTTTTGTTTAATATATATCATGGAACCGCAATATTTTATAAGACTATTATCAAATTGTGAAAAATCTCTAACCCAATACAGTGTGTTTGTGATTACCTTCAGGCAATAACCACTCCAGCAATGGCTGTCAGTCACATCATGTTAGAAGCATATAAGAAATACATCCTGGTGTCCCTCATCCTTCATGGCAAAGTTCAGCAGCTTCCCAAATACACGTCACAGATCGTGGGCAGATTCATTAAGGTGAGTGTCCGAGCACAACATTGAAAACCAATTACATGGCAATATTTTGCTTATCTGCTTGAACTCAGAATTATTAGCTCTCCTGTTATTTTTGAATCTTTTATATTTTATAAATTAATTAATTTTAAATTAATATTGCTCAAGGGGGCTGATAATACTCCCTTTCAAATGGTTTTAAAAATGTAGCTTGTAATATAGCCGAAATGAAACTACTTTCTTGACAGGACTTTCTCTAAAAGAAAAAATATTATAGGAAATACTGTGAAAAATTCCTGAATCTGTTAAACATCATTTAGAAAATATTGAAAAGAAAA